AGGAAGGATGTCTCACAGCCAAATTACACAGTCCCTACTCAGCTACAAATTTCTGCTTCACAAAATTATTCATTTAGGCCATCAGTGAAGCGTGTAAGAGGCTAAACCCAGGACCCAAGTAATATTTACAGTAGCAAATATCAAGTTTAAATGGTCAGTGTAAAACAGTTTTCACTGTTGTGTTATGCTTTTTGAGTGTCAGGTACAAACAGAAATTCAGAAGAAACATGGTTCTGGTGTAAACAGCTGTAAAGTAGACAATTCTTTGTGCTCAGAGCATGAGGTGAATGTGTTCAGTTACTTGTCCATGCCAGGTGAGTGAGCAGCAGCAGGAAGAATATAAAATTCCTGATCTAGCTACAGTGAACAAGCCTACAAAGCTTTCCAGGAAACAAAAATAAACCTAAAACCTGCATCTAAGTGTACACAAACAGCATGCAGTCATTGTAAAGCTGCACTCCTTCAAGCATGTTACACTAAAAACATTGAAACAGACAGAAGCTTCCTGAAGATCATTTCCACTGTGGATGCCATGTACTGCAAGCACCTAAAACGGTGTCTGACATACCTGAAATGTGAACAAAAGCTGGCAAACTTTGTTTTCTCTACTCTTTGTTGCTAGAACGTGGGTTACAGGTAAAAAGTTACGGTCAGTCAAGCAATAAAATGTTTTTAAGTCAATAAAAGTCATTCAAGCTTTCTTCCACAGATCTTAAAGAAAAAGCTAGAATAAAACTTTTTCTCTAGCCTCAGGTTTGATGCCTGAAAATTGCACTTTTGTTATTTCTTATGTAAGACTATATAACAAGCGATGTAAAACACAAATACAATTTCTTTCTGTAGAGGAGTCTGCCTTTGTCTAACAGTGAGTCAGCATCATCTGACAGATCAATTTTCTCTAAGTGTAGGATGTGGATTTTGCATATCACACTCTCCAAGGGCACCTGTTGGAAACTTGGGTCACTACAGCATGGAATTTCACACCACACATAAGGTCAACTCAGTGGCCTCCCAGCACATCACAAAGTCTCATCAGTAGGAATGAGGCTGATATGAGATACCTCAAGTTTTCTGCCCTCCAGATCTGCCTTTCTATAACAGGGACACAACACTCCTTAACACTTGGTTGGTTCTTTCTGAAGCTGTGTGGGTCTCGTATCCACAGGATCAAGAGGAGGAACCTCAGGAGGAGTCTAATTCCACCTCCTGAGCAGAGGTCAGTCAGCTGTGAGGTCAGATGAGGCTGGCCAGAGCTTTAAGCAGCCAAGTCTTGAAAAACCTCCCAGGATTTTCAGCTTCTCTGGGGACCGTGTTGCAAAATTTACTTGTCCCGATGTGGAAAATGCTTTTCCTTGTGATGTCTGAACCTATGTTGTTCCAATCTCTGTCCACCATCATCCTCCTTCTGCCAAGCACCACTGTGAACAACCTGGTCCTGTCTTTTCATAAGCCCCCATAGGTGTGGGCAGGCTGCTGCCAGGCATCCCCAAAGCCATCCCATGGGCAGGATGCTCTTAGGTGTCCCAAAGCCATTCCTGCTGCTCAGCCTCTTCTCACAGGGGATGTGCTCCAGCCCATGCTGAGCCCAGGGCCCCACAGCTGTCAGGAGTGTTCCAGGCGCACTCCAACATGTGCTGAACACAGGGAAGTGATCACCTTCCTCCATCTCCAGGCTGTGCTCCCCCTAACACAGCCCGAGGTGCTGCTGGCCCCTTGTATTCCCAGGGCAGCTGCTGGCTCGTGCTCAGCCTGCTGTGTACCAAGGCCTGAGCTCCATCTGAGCAGAGCTGCTCTCCAGCCTGCCAGTCTCTGGCCTGTATTGCTGAAAACTCCCAAAATCTTTTGGTATCAATTCTGTGGGGATGGCCAAGACACTTTCCCCCATGCCATACACAGCAGAAGCTCCCAAGATAATGTGCAATAGAAGCCAAGATTAACTCTATGCAGACATTAAGCTAAAATAATGTTAATGCACTTTTCCCAGTACCTTTAAAAACAACTGTACAAATTCCTCTATATTCTTGTCTCTGAAAAAGAGAACAGCTGCTGCGAGGTGTTCCTTTCCTCCAAGCATAGTTGTTTATAGTAAAGAAGACTAGGCTTTGATCAGTTTCTTATGTTTACTAAATTGATTCCAACATCTTTGCCAGTGGGCTGTATGGATTCCCAGAGTGAGATACTCCTGCTCATTTGAAGTGGTTGAGATTGTTTATCAATGGAATTTTCCATTATGCTTTGTACTGTCTTTCTTCAAAGCACAATTTGTTCACTGGGCAGTACTTCTTGTCCAACATAATAAGCAGAACCATTGTTCAACACTTTTGTCACTTTTGTTTTCTTCCCACACGCTCTACCTCCATCTATTATCTTGTCTCAACCTCAGTTTCCTTTCACAACTCTTCTTGCAGGTAATGTGATAAGTTTGTTACCAGCTGCTATGTCCACTTTGTTTCCCCCTGCTTCCTGCCCCTCTCTCTGGTATTAAAATTTGGGAAGCAGTCACGGCTTCCCATGGAAAACACAATGCCCCACAGGCTGGGGATGAGCAGAGGAAGCAGCCCTGGCAGAAGGACTTGGGGGTGCTGTGGGTGAGAGCTGGCCCTGCCCCAACCCAGAGCCCCCCTGTGCTGGGCTGCACCCAGAGCCCCAGGGCAGCAGGGCAGGGGGGATTCTGCCCCTCTGCCCCGCTCTGCTGAGACACCCCTGCAGGGCTGCATCCAGCCCTGGGATCCCAGCACAGCAAGGACAGGGAGCTGCTGGAGCCAGGCCAGAGCAGGGACACCAAGGGGAGCAGAGGGATGGAGCAGCTCTGCTGGGAGCAAAGGCTGAGGGAAGTGGGATTGTTCAGCCTGGAGAAGTTCTGGGGTGACCTCATTGTGGCCTTTCAGTGCCTGAAGGGAACCCACAAGAAATTTGGAGACTCTTGACAAGGGCCTGGAGTGACAGGACGAGTGGGAATGGCTCCAAAGCGGCAGAGAGCAGGTTCAGATTGGATATTAGGAAGAAATTGTTCCCTGTGAGGCTGCTGAGGCCCTGGCACAGGTTGCCTAGAGAAGCTTTGGCTGCCCCATCCCTGGCAGTGTCCAAGACCAGGTCAGATGGGGCTCTGAGAACCTGGGATAGTGGAAGTGTCCAGCAGGAGGCTGGAATGAGACAAGCTTTAAGGTCCCATTCCATTCTATGATTCTCTGACTCCCACACTTTTTCCAATGCATTGAAAGTAGGAGTGTTATAAATGACCCTGTAATCCTGCATGCCCTACAACTCTTGCCTGAGTACAGAGATCACTACCATCACAGTGTGTTCCAAACAGAGATGTCCAAACCCCAATAGCAGCAGCTGGACAAATCAGTACATGATAAAGAGCAAAGGAATCCCCATCTCCAGGCCCCAATCTAATGCTTTGTCCATTAAACAGTTGTAGCAAATCAGTGTTTTCCCTCTTTTGTTGTGTCAGACCCAACAGAAGATACACACTTTGCTGAGCAAGCTGCAGACTGTGAACGAGCAGGTGAAAATCTGCAAAAGCTCAAGTGTTGAAATATCAAATATACTTATGAGGGAATTTATTTATACCTCTGGTTAAGGTTTACTTCCAAGTGTGACTACTTATTTGATGCTTCAACAGCAACTAAAAGAGCTCCCACAGTTAGACAGTATCAGGCTGCAGAAATAGAGCAACTTTCAAGAATAAAAAAATAGAAGGCTATGAAATGAAAAGAACTGTGGTTCCTGAAGATGTACTGTCTCCCACAGTTTCCAAATTAACAAGTGTGAGGTGATACACATGTTAAGCTGTAACAGGGAATCTACTATGAAGATCAAATCCCTTTTCCAGCAACATATAAATCTCAATTTAAGACATCTCAAAAAAAAAAAATCCACAAAGCCCAAACTTTTCCATCTTTTCAAGTCCACTAATTCAAAAAGCAAACAAACAACAAAAATTCACCCCACCCTAATCCCAACCATCTTGAGATGCACTGGATATAGTTTGTCCATGAAAAACCAAAAACCAGGCCCCAGGACTGACTTCAAATGAAAATCTAACCTCTCAAACCTCCCCAGGACATGGGCAAAATAAATCAAGGACAAGCTGCCACAGGCATGGGGCCATACTGTAGTCTGTTCACTCTCCCATCTTTTTTTTCTTCTCCCGCATCTGATAGTACAAGAGTTCCACAAGAGCAGATTAAATTTATGACTACAGATATGCACATTTCGTAAAATACTATTAAGCAATGAAATACCAGTCTCATTAAGTACTTCCAGTTTTAGTATTTGTTAGAGGTAGGAACACCTTTGTCTTTTTTAATCCTCCAAACATCGTGCTGTGCTACACTTGTTTCATGCTAAAGGCATTTTTGAATTGCTGTGATTTGTCTGGGTGCATTATCAATATGTGTAACTTTCAAATCAATGGCAGCGTAGTCAACATACAGAAACAGGTGGTTTTGATCAGGAAATGAGCAGATGTTATGTGGCAACAAACAACATCCTGCAATAACAAGGCTGGTAACTCAAAACAACAGAAAATGAGCAAGTTTAACCCCAAGTTCATGCTTTGAAGCCTACACTAGCTGCTGGTTTGGTGTTGGGGTTTTATTTTAAATATCATAAGTGATACTAGTATTTTTGTAGTCCTACAACAAAGAGAAGAAATTCATTCTGTGATTGTGTGAAGATAAATATGCCTCTGTAGAGCACCTTGGGGACAACGGGAATCTTGCTGCTTTTGATCACAGTCTTCATATGGCAGCCACTGCTTACACTGAAAAGCAACTTTATGTAATAAGCTATTTTCAGTTTTCTCACTGCTGATTTTTATCCAGTCATCCAATGCTTCCTCATCACTGCCTGCTTTAGAGGCGCTCACCAGTTGCCAAGAGAATACAGAATATCAATAAAAGCAGAGAAATAGCACAAGCAAGAGCAAGTGTGTCAGCAGCAACAATGGACTCAAAGGCTCATTTGTGAATTACAAAGAATATATGTCAATATCAGACACCTGCAGGTTTATTTCCTTGTAAATGCGATGCCAATGTCAAGAACAATCACTCTGTAAACATCAGTTTACCTATCCTTTCATAGGCTCTGTAAAAGGTGGTAAACCAGCCAATCAACATTACCAGTGCTGTTAATTAAAACATGACCATCACTGCATTCACAACACTGTCTCCAGGGAACTCTGCCCAACCTGTGTGTGTCTGAGGCTTACAGAAAAACACACCATGACCACAGTGGGATTAACTTATGCAAATACTTCTAATATGTAACAAATTTCATTGAAGTCATATTCATGAACAGAAAGCTCGTTCTAAGTCAAGGAAACACACACCAATCCACGCAGATCCATAACAGAGCCCCGTAGAAGCGTTTCTCCCACAAGCCCCGCAGCCGAGCTGTGCCAGAGCCGCCGCTCCCGGCGGGGAGGCCGGGGCCAGCCCATCCGCTCCCGGCGCATCCAGAGGCGCTCCCGAGGCTCCCGGGCAGGGCAGGGCTACGAGTCGGGCAGGGGCTGGCTGTGGGTGCCGCTCCGCGTCTTCAGCTGCGACTGGGCGATGTCGGCCAGGGCGCTCTGGATCTTCTCGAGCAGCACATCCCCGCGGTACACCACCTCCTCCAGCCGCGCCGCCGCCTCGTGGTTCTCCTCCTCCAGCCGGTACAGGCTCGCAGCCTTCAAAGCAAAACCGGGATGATGCCCAAAGATTTTTGGCTTTTTATGTATTTTTCATATATTTTTACCTCTGGATGCTACTATCATAGTCCTAGTATTTTTTCTACCGTTTCCCTTTAGAACTAAGCTAACCCTTAGCTAACCCTTTAGAACTAAGCTAACTAAGCTAACCCTTCTAATGCACGCTTGGAATTCTGTTCAGTCTTTTCCTTACAAAGAAGCCTGACCAGGACGTTTTGTTTTCCGACCAGAATCTGAGAACACACAAGAAATGGGGCAAAGAAGCCCCTACAACAATTCCAATGGGGTAGAATGCAGGGAAAACTAACTAACCAACTACTCTTCTAATTGGACAATGTTTATTTGATATGCTAGTTTGTTAAACTCATAAAATTGTAGAAATCTGATGCTCGGTGTGCCCAAGATCATTGGGACACCTGGAAGCTTCCAATAAAAGCCGGCTTTTTATTTTACTATTTTAACACTGTTGCAAGAGTTTCCTCTTTTGATGTTGGGCAACAGGGAAAAGCAAGGATCTTCAACAGAATCCTGAAGTGACTTTGCTACTGAAGGATGCTGAGAGAACAGCTGGTGCTCCCTAAAAAGAAAAATGTTCTCTTGTTTAATAGTTGACTGCAACTAATTCACAGATTAGAGCAGAATTTGTCCTGTCAACTTCACCAAAAGGGAACTCACAAGGGGCAGGTAAATTGTGTTGAGCATTTGTGTAGCAGCTCCTTTTATCATTTACGACAAGACTCAGATCTGAAACATACACCAAGACAACTTTAGTATAAAAAAAGCAGATTTCTACTAAACGAGTATTATCTACCACTTCTCAACTAAACCTATAGTGCATATTTGAGAGTGTTTCAAGCATCCTTAAAACCATTTCTTTGAAGACTATTGGAATATTTAATACTGCACCAAATTAAGCAACAGAAAATAAAAATCAAAACTGGAATCCAAGTGATGGAATCCAAGCTAATTTATCTTAAGACCACAACAGATAGAAAGTATCAGAAATTTTTGTGACGTGAAGTTCTTCATTAAGAAAGCAAGAAACTGTTGAAGTATCACCTCTAAGGAAAGTATATCCTTACTGGATAACCAGCTCCTCCTTCTGGAGCACCCTGCTTTACCCACACCAGCTGCCACTTTGATCAGACCCTGCTCAGTCATGGAACAAACTGGAATTTGTCTGCAGCAGGCATTCTATCTTCAGCTATTAAAAATGCACTTACAGGAAATTATGCTAGTGTTGATGAACCCAATTATGATGTTTAGCAATTACTGTGACTAGCAAAGTTCCCAAATTTAACCTCCTCTGTTTAAAACAAACGTGATGCCACTGCCATGTCATTTCTCTTTGGCTCATTCAGTGTCAATCTTCTGTAAAACACATTTAAACAGTTACGAAGTATCAATGCAAGTTTAAAACTTTCAGGTGATCTTAAAGGTCATCATCAGGTTTATCAGAGAAACAGCACTCAGCATCCTTTGTGCATTCTAAAAAGAAAATACTTGATGTAAGTCCAGCCATTATAAGTCACAAAGAAAAAAAAAAAGATGGCTTTAACAGGTAAAATCTACAAAAAAATAGGGAAAAAAAATCCCAAAACAAGTTTGATTGGTTCAAAGGAAGACTCCTTGTTATTGAAAAGTGATGAATTTATTTTGTGACAGAGCTGAAGAACTTAAAGGACACCCTTGCAAACTCTTTACCCAGAAACAATGCGGCAGAACAAAAGACTTCTGTAGCATTGGTTCTGCAGCTACAAAATGAAATGTGAGAAAATATGAAATATTACCCAAGGGGAAAAAATTAATAAACAACGCACAAAGCATCAGTACTGTTATATCTATTCTGTTAATATATGAAAAAAAGGGTGAGCAGTTTCCAGTGTAGTGGTGGTGTGATAAACCACCTTTTTTTTACATTTTAGCAGAAAGCCTACAAAGCACACACAGGCTGCCCTCATGAAAAATTCAGGTTTGTATTCAAATAATTTTTCAATGATGACATGGCTTAAGAGATGAAAAAATGTGTTAATAAAGAAAAAAAAAGGAGGAAGTTTGCCTTCAGGAGCGTCCTGATGCTGGAATTAGGAAAACTCCTACCTGCAAAGCTGCTGTGGATTCTTCACTGGGCAGGGAATCTATGAGAACATCGATATCCTTGGCAGTGCGAGCGATCAGAGCAGCGAACAGCTGGGCGTACTCTGCACAAAACACAGCACAACTCAGCCAATCACTCAGGGAATTTTTCGAAACAAGCACAACTCTGCTGCCACACTGTTGATCGTAAAAGGGTTTTAAAATCACGGGGATTTAGGGTTAAAAGGAAAATTAAGCTTAGTAGGCCCTGAAAAAAATAAATACGCTAGGTCCATGAAGGCCTTGTACCTTGCTAGAACTGCACCTTTGTAGCTAGCACACGATAAATGATATAATTTTTAGATGTGAGATTGTTTAGTAATTAAATATAATTACTGTTTAATCGTGAGAATAATCATGAGAAACTGTAGTCAGGGGCATAACAAAGATCACGAGAAACTCATGGTTGAATAAAGTCAATATAAGTTTAATAATTAATATGTAAGTTATATAACGATAGAATATAAAAGACGTTCAGCTCGAAAGCCGTGTCGGAGTCAGATTTGGGTCTGTAGCCCTGATTCCCAGAGCTCTCAATAAAAGCACCTGCATATATTCATATCCCGTGATTATGTGCGTTCCTGAACGCTAACAAGAACACACTCAGTTTGGGGAAATTATTGAATTTATGACCAGCCGACACCCACCCACGAGTGGCCCTGCAGCACTCCCGCAGCTGCGGGGGGAGCTGTTTGCCGAGGGATTTTGCCCTCCCGAAGCGCGCAGGAGCCGCGGGGGAGCCGCACTCACCCTCGGTGGGGTTGACTCCCTGGTCCTTGTTTATGGCCGTCTGGATGTTGCTGAAGGAGGCGGGCGGGCCGCACTGCTGCAGCACTCCGATGGCGTTGCAGAACTGGTCCGCGAGCTGCCGGCACCAATTAACGCGGCGTTAATCCCCCTGCCCTCACGGCGCAGCATCCCCGGCCACGCGCAGGCCGCGCACGCCACACCCGTTCCCCCGGTTACCGGCGGGGTGTGAGGGGGTGCCGCATCCCCGCAGAGCCCGTGGCGCTCCCCGCGGCCCCGGGAGAGACGAGGCAGCGGCTCCCCGCTTACCGAGTTGACGGCGTCCTGCAGCTGTGTCAGCCGGTCCGCCATGGCCGCGCCGTCACCGCCGCCCCTGAGGCGCGGGCCCGCGGGGCGCGGGCGCCGCCTGGCGGCCGGGAGGAACGGGCGGACGCCGCCCCTCAGGGTGTCCCGGGCAAGGCGGGACTCGGCGCTCCCGCTTGGCACGGACCGCGCTTGGTGATCTCAGAGGTCTTTTCCAAAGCTACGCGATCCTGGTACTGCCACGGCTTTTGCTTCTGCCAGCTGAAGGCTGCAGCAGCGCTCGGGTGCTCCGCTCCAGCCCCGATGTGAGCAGGGAACAGCCAGAGTGTAATGTTCCCAACAAGCCAAATCAGAGCCAGCATCCGGCCCCCGAGCCCAGGGGTTGGAGAATAAATGCCGTTCGTGCCAGTCGGTTTGTGCCTATCTTTCTTACCTCTGACAGCTGGGTACAATGCCAGCCTTCTCCTAGCTGGATCTTAGAGATCATCTCTTTCTAAGCCCCGCCACAAGCACACTTTGCACTATCTCAGGTTGTTTCCAACTTGGACACTGCCAGGCATGGGACAGTCCCTGTGCCAGTGCCTTGCCACACTCATAAGGAAGAATATCTTCTAATATCCAATCTAAACCTCATTTTGAAGCCATTTCTGTTATCCTGTCACAACACGCCTTTGGAAATAACCACTCTGTAGCCTTGTCACTGATGCTGCGAGTGCAGCAATGATACAAACAATCCGCCCAAAGTCTTTTCCCGACGGCACGGATGGGTGACGATTTGGGCTCTCCTCACGCTCTGAAGCCAAACCCCAAGCCCCAAACTGCCGATCCAAACCCCACTGTGCATTTTTAGGATTTTTTAGTTACCGCGGCCAAACGCTTCCCCTCCGCCCTCCCCGGCCGGGCCGGAGCGGCCCCGCCTGCCGCCCGCCCCCGGCGCCCGCCCCGCCCCGCCCCAGCGCCCGGCCTTTTCCCGGCCTCGGCCGCTCTGCCCGCTCCCTCCGCAGCGCCATGTGGGGCTGGGCTCGCCCGGCGCTGCTCCTGCTGCTCGCGGGGGTCCTGCGGCACGGCGGAGCCTCAGGTGAGGGCGGTGTGAGGAGCGGGGGCGCGGGGGCCGTGGCCGCCATTAAGCGGCCGGAGGAGCGCGGCTCGGAGCGGGGGCTGCGGGTTTGAGCCCGGGTTTGAGCCCGGGGTTGTGCCCGGGTTGTGCCCGGCGGTGCGGGCTCGCAGCCGCTGCGGAGCCTTCCGGGCTGCCCCCGCTGCCACCTGCCCTCCGCAGGAGCGCTGGGCAAAGCTCCCTGCGGCGCTGCAGAAGCGCTGTGTGTATTCCTGCTTATCTTAATCTTTCAAGGAGAACCACCCTCTTTTTTTATCCCCTTTCCCTCCCTATCCGCTTTTTTTTTGTTTGTTTGTTTTTTTAGCATCTTAATTGGCGTGAATGCCATAATTGTAACTGTTTCATGGATAATTTAGAATGATTTTGGCCGCGGAGGTGCGGAGCAGGTGATGTGGCTGGTGTGTAGGGCGGTATTCCCCGCACAGAAACGAGGTGGCATTGGCTACCTGTGAACGTGAGCTGACATGGCTAAAAAGCGATTTCGTTTTGTTTGCTTGCTTTTATCCGCCGACCATGTACAGGTGTTCATGGGTTCCCACCACCCTAGTGGATGGTGGGTTGAAAACCACTATTGCTATAAAACTAGGGAAAGGAGTAAAACCTAGAATTTGCAGCTTGGTTCCTGAATTTTCTGTCTGTACTGATGTTATCTGACTTTTTTTAGCGTGGGCTTTTTTTGTAATTTCCCTGTGTTCCTGCATGTGACTAAAATAGGAGTCCAGAATTAAGTGTGCTATAATAAGTATAGTTCAGGAAGATTTACAGTCACTTTTTTTTTTCTTTTTCTGGTTAAACGCTTATCTGTTCAAATAAAGGAAAAAATAAACAGTTTCCTCTCAGAGATAATTCAAAGATAAGCAAGCAGTCCTTCTTATCAGGGCTGATATAAGTCTTCTCCTTTTTGTTGCTTTATTTTTGTACTGCTTCTAACCATAGACTCATAGACTGGTTTGGGGCCTCATCTCATTTCAACCCCCCTGCCATGAGCAGGTACACTTTCTACTAGACCAGATTGCTCAACGCCCCACCTAACCTGGCCTTGAATGAATGAAGCTTAATTGTCCCAAAGGAGACTCTTGGGATACTTTGCAGGGCTGCAGGACAGCATTTGGAATCAGTCTCAGGTGTGGAAGGCTTCTCTCTGCCCAAGTCTCATGCCCAAGATCCTAATGGAGAGCCAAATATTCCCTGTTTCTTGCAGGACCTAAAAGCTTTGGCTGGGCACCTGATGGTCACAAGCAGGTGTGAGAATGAGAGCTCTGCTTTTTTAGACCTTAATGTCCTTAAGATAACTTAAAGGATGCTAACAAGCAGTTTGTCTCCTAGACTTGATGAAATTGGGTCATGTGTTGAGTAATTTTTTTACATTATGTAAAAAGGCAAAGCAACTATGAGACTAAGCAAACTGCTTTGCTGCCTTGAAGGAACCTGTTGCTGTTTTTCCTTGCGTGGATGAGGGTGGAGGGGGGGAAAGTATTTCCCTTGTGAAAAGCTAATAAGCTGTGTAATTTGTGTACCAGAGTCTAGTTGATCATTAGGGCCTTTTAAAAAGGCCACTTGCTTAATGGTTCACTGATTTGAAATTGTCTTGTGGTTATTCAGTTGTGGACACCCACTTTGCAGGGATGGGCTCTGCTAACTCCTGTTTCTCGAAGATCCTGCTTCATTTTAAAAGTGCTGATCAGTAAAATCTTTGCATGATGGTCTGTGTTACCTCTCTGGGCTTCTGATGGGCTGCAGCTCCTCAAACTTAGTCTTTGTGCAGAAGTGTTTTCTACACTGATTGTTGCCTTCCAGGGAGTTCTGTCTTCCTGAGGAGGAGTTAAAGTGGCTGTGTTTGCTACATCCAAAGTGGGCTGTTTAGTTTTGGAAGAGCTAAAGTGAATTTATAGTGTAATCAGGACTGAGGGGTGCTTTTGTAAAGGGAGCTTATCTGGGTGAAACTTGTTTCTGCCAGCTGTTTAGTCTATATGAGATTATACTTTACAATAAGAAGTTCACACAAATCTCTTCCCTCACTTTTCAGGCTGTAAAACACCTCTATCCTGTTGAACAGAATAGTCCTCTGGGATGGGAATGGTGCAGATGGTGACAAGTCACATTCTGTGGTGTCATCTGCTTTAAGTATCAAGCTGTTCTAAACGTGAGTTTCAGTACACACACAATCAAAGTTTAGGTGCTTTCAGGAATGTTCCTGCTTCTTTCGGGAATGGAGTAGGTGCTGTATTTTTTGTGGGGGGTTCAGTAGTGTGGGAAGACAGACCCTGTAGCCAGACTCTCCCATTATCTGTGTCTGCATGGCCTTACAGGTCTGATAGGATACGGCTCCAGGCTTTATTCTGTTAAGTAACTGTATGCTAATGTTTTTCTTAGTCAAACTGGTTGTCAGTCTGAGCTTGCACTCATCTTCATTAAATGTCTTCATGTGACTACTTGTTGTACTCCCTGCACTGGAAAGTTCTCCTTGGCTCCTGGGGCTTGCTTACATCAGGTTGTTCTGCATATCCACTGCAAGCTGCTTGACACCCAGTAGAAATGTGTTTTCTCTAACTGCACAGAACCTCTTTGAGAAAAGGATAATGTTTGAGCATGGCTCTGCAGGTGAAGACTGTTCTGTATGGGCAGCAGGGGCATTTCTTCAGTTGTTTTTCTTACTGGAAATTGGACTGCTATTTGTAATCAAGAACCCTGTGTGGTTAACTGCTCTGCGGTGGTGGGGAGTGACACTTGGCTATTGGAGCTGGAAATGTGGTTTTCTCAAAGCATCAGAGGAGCCAAGAGCTTGGCACTGAATCAGCACAATGGAAACAGTTCAAGCTGGGTGTAGCCTGTTGGGGAAAGTGTGTCACAGGGAAGGGATAACAAGTGCAGAGGCTCTGGAATTGTTTGTCTTGTTGTTTAGAGTTAGGAATAAGGACTTTTGATCTCAGAAGAGTCCCAGGAGGTTCTGTTTCTTGTCTTTACCGGTTTTGCCCTTCATGTGGGAGAAGAGATACTGTGGGATGACAGAGTGGGCTGTTTGCTGTGTTCACCAGTTCTGTGTGCAGGGTTACCTTTGCTACAGCTCTGGTGCTGTTTATGGAGTAATACATGCTCAGTGCTCCCTCTCTGCTCTGTGCTGCTTGGTTACAGCAATGCTGACTTCCTTTCAGCATCTGTTCAGTTGATAAGCTCTGTAACAGTTTGAGTTCCTCTCATGTATCTAACCCAAAATTACTCTGACATGTAGTGACTGTTACAGTCCTTCCTACAGGACAAGGAAGAGAGCATAGCCTGGCACCTTAGAGTGTGTCCAGGCCTTCACTGTTGGAAGCAATAAAACAAGTTGGGATGCCTGGATTTTGCTCCTTTGTTGCTGACTTGCTGGATCAACTCTCTCGCTTGTGAGGTGGAGTTAATTGTGCTGCTGGTCCTGCAGACCTGTCTGGTGGGCTACCTCTGGGCAGGTCAAGCTTGCCCGAAGGAGAAGGTTGCATGCTGTGACCAGCACTCTGTGGTTGTTGAGGTCTCTGTGTCTTTCAAAGGATGTTTGACAAGACCGAGCTCTCTGTGGCATTAGAACCGGAGAAATGGTGATAGGAATAGGCCTGGTGAATTGTGAGTTGGTTAATTTAATCAATTAGCCTTGCTCACCATCTTCCCTTTCTGTCTCAGGGCACCAGGAGTGACTTGTTCAAATAACAGAGAGGGAGAAGGCTGGAAGGGTGCTGTGGAGGAATTGCTCTTCCAAAAACTAATGAGAAGATTCTGTTGTTCTGCAGTGCTCGTCATCTTTTAGGCCTGGCTGGAAGTGTGGTTCACTTTTAGGCCTGGCTGGAAGTGTGGCTCACTGTGAACAGCAAGCTGAACAGGACTTGTCTGATGGGTGTAGATGTTCTTCACCCTGAGTCTCTGCTCTTGTGCCCAGACTTTGGGATAATGTGTATCACATGTGCTGTTCTCAGAGCAGTTATGCAAACAGTAGAGCAATATA